GGTCCCCCGCTCCTCTGGGGGACCATGACCCGTCACGGTCCCCCATAGGAGCTCACCATAGAGCCCCTTGAGCAGACGAAGAACGTCGTTCTTTGTCTGCTCTGTGTGATTACTGAGACAGCGCCACCTGTCTCAGCGCTCACTAACTGCAGCTTCTGTGACAGAATTTCTGTCACAGATGTCCTGTGTCCTATCGTCCGGAGCATCTTATAGACCGCAAAATATGGTAATACACATCGCTTCCGCCTTTAGAGAGAGAAGGAGGAGAGATCAGCGGTGGGGGAAATGCTGAACTCTCCTCCTACTCTCTAGTAGCAGCCGCTGTGTGTTCTCGCGGACATTGAGTCCTGGCCAAATGCTTCTATGAAAAAGCCGGTAACGGCCGTTTACCTTCCCGGCAGGATTCAGCTCGCGTGTGCCAGAGCATTAAAGAAAATCACGTACATGTACGTCCACCCGCCGGGAAGGGTCTGTCCGTATTTTTACGATGGGTGGACAGCAAGGGGTTAAATGTGATGGCTCCATTAGTTTCCTTTATTTTTACCTAGTGATCCGGCCACTAAGCCTGCCATTTATGCTTGATAGCTAGGTCTATAAAGCAAGTTAAAGAATGACAGAGTTACGAGAAATCATTTAACACTGACAGGTGTGCTTACAATGGTTAGATTGCATAAATTTATGTAAAACCTTATCTCAAAAGGAAGAAAAAAACTGTTGCTGGTTAAAAGGTTTTAGCTAAGGTTTGGCTTTAATTTGTAAGTGCATATAAATCTGCTAGTGCATCTAACACTCCTCACTCTCACAGGTTGACAATGCTGCTGTCTAAGGGTGACTCCATGGCTCCTCCATAGATTGGATCTACCCTTAGGCCCCTTTTACATGGGCGGTCAGATAGGGACCGCCTGTCAGTTTTTCAGGTGGACCTGATCGGATGCCCAATGTAAGTCTATGGACAGCCGTGTGTAAATGGTATAGCATCCATTTCCACCTGGTTACCCTCACCTCCGGCCAGATCTGGAAAAACAAACGGATTAGAAATCCATTTTGCCGGACCTGATCGTGTCGGATTGGGGCATGATCTGATGTAAACGGACGCATATTCGTTTACATCCAATTCCCCATAGACGGACATGAGGTCTGGTAATTTCAGTTTTTTCCTCCATCACAAGAGGAGGAAAACCTGTATGGACACGGATGTCACCTGTACTGCTGTGATCAGGAGAGGATCGGTGCATAGATCCTCTCCTGATCAGCCCGTGTGAAAGGTAGTGTATTACTGGCTGGATCGCAAGGTGAAAGTAAAGGGGAAAAAAGAGAACTAATGCAGCCACTTTTCAAGTGGACCTTTACTCATACTCTAACCCACTGTAACCTCACATAGCTCAGCTATTTGAAAAGATTTGTTTCCTGTTTATTTTTTTATTCTGGCTTGCTGCTACATTCACCTAGGCAAGAATGACAAGCTCTGCTCCCATAGCCTTCAGGGATGCCATTATTTGGTTTGTTGTAGGGATGCACCGATACAAGCATCGGTATCGGCGGCGATACCGAGTATTTGCATGAGTACTCGTGCAAATACTCCGATACAAAAAAACGAGTACCTGTGCCGCGTCCGCCATCTTCAGGGACCCGTATGCGCCGCACACAGGACCTCCATTGCGTCTTCAATAGAGCAAGATGGCCGCAAACTCCTCCTCCAAGTCCTCAGTCATCTGCTCCATTCTGACCTCTTCTCCCGCTGATTGGCCGATTGGATGATGACAGGCTTCCTCACCAGTCAGATTTTCCCCACTATGGGGATACAAGCCTTAGTTAGCAATGGCATGATAAATATTAATTTCATTATTCAATGTCTTTTATGCCATTGCTAACTAAGGCTTGTGCACACCGGACCGTGCGGCATTCGTCTCCCGAACACGCCACTAACCCGCCGAAAATCGTACGATTTTTGGGAGGTTTTCAAGCGTGCCCGGAAGACTAATGTCGTGCGAACTTACAGTAGAAGAGGTCGCACGCTGCCCATACACCTGCCGATTATCGTACGATCGCGGGATCACCCGCGATTATCGTACGATAATCGGCAGGTGTATGGGCACCTTTACATGGAGCGAAGTGCCCTTTGCACTGATACTATGCTATAAAATACCGTTTTTCTGACCCAAGATTTTTTGTGCACAAATGTAAACAAAGCCTAATGTTAGGTAAGGTATAACTTTCGGGAAGGTTGTCATTTCATGCTTGAATTCCTGTTCTCACGCTGTGAGCAGTGCAGTTCATAGACTAGAGTCTCACCTCAAAATAACCACTGAACTATCACGTTCTCAAACCGTTCATCCCCACAATGCTGCCTCCTCATGTATCACTTGCCCCTTCCTTTTAGATTGTAAGCCCTCACAGGCAGGGCCCTCCTTACCATCTTGTCTTGAATTGTATTGTGAGTGTAATGTCTTCCTTATATTGTAAAGCGCTGCGCAAACTGTTGGCGCTATATAAATCCTGTATAATAATAATAGCGTCCAAATTGATAATTCATAGATATTCCCTCTTGCTGCATAGTGGTGACCCAGAATATGGAAGTAGTGAGAGAGCTATCAAACAGTGCCAGATTTAGTAGATACTGATCCTGGCACTGCATAAAATCACATACAAACCCATGTGGATAGCTAAGGGCTGCACAAACTGGTCTAGCAGCCAGATGGGATTGAGGTTCTGGTGAGTATATCTTCTTTTATCCAGCCCCTAGAACGAAATGAGCAGTTAACACTTGCAGTGTGTGTAATCCAACTTCAAGGGTTAACTTTCTAGATTCCTGGAGTACCTCTTTAGGAGGTTCTTATATGGGATATATATGTGCAGATGTGTACCCAAAAGGAATGGTGCAAAAATGTGTATGTGTTACAGGGGCAGACTTAATGAACTGGTGTTGGATTGGTTGAGGTCAATTTTTGTATCTAAGGGTAGCAGTGGGAAAATCTAAATAATGGACCTGATTGTGTTGTTTCTTAAAAGTTTTTTAAGTGAAATATGATAAGGGTGGCATGTGTGCAAACTCAATATTTACATTTGCAGCCCCACTTTTTACATATTTTTGGGCAACTTCTTTTGAAAAGGAAGCACCAAAGAATCTTCCCAGAGGTAGATGTTTTTATTAGAGCTGCAAAGGTAATATTGTATCATGCACAGACTGATTCTATAATCGAGGAACGTGCGGTCAGGGGAGGCAGGTAAGGCAGAGCCTCACCTAGTATTATGAAGAAAAAAGGTGTTAGCTTCAAGTCTGAAGCTGACAGCTTTTTCTCCATTCAGAGTGGCTTGTTACAGGTTACACAGCAGGGAAAGCCTCCTCGCTGCGTAACCTGACATGGACGGAGCGCTGCCTGTTAATGACAGGCAGTGCTGCATCCGGCTTTTGACAGGTAGTTAAGTTACACAGCAGCGGGCTTCCCCACTGCTTGTGTAACCTAACTTGGTAAGGCAAGAGCTGTCACAGCCTCTACTCTGTGTTAGAGGTGTGAGCTCTGTGGATGGCTTGGACCAATGGCAAAGCGCGTAGATGTATGTTGCCCACAAAAAAAATCACGTGTTTAGTAGATTAAGCTCTTTTGCAATTTTTATCAACATTTATACATGATTCATGTGATTTTTATGTTGGGAATCATGCACAGCACAGATTATAGTTTTCAGGTACGGTAAAAGTGCCCAAGCTTGCAGTAAAGATGTAATAAAGAGAATATTTTGGCACTGTGTGTGTAGGTATTAATCATTTAGTATGGTCTGTTAGCAGAGGACCTATAGCATTAATAGATGGTAGTCACAATGTGTATGTCCCAGAATATTTATGCAGATGTTTGTGAAAATTATATTTTCTGTAAAAATTACATTAAACAAATGTCGAAGGAAAAACATTCCAAGCTTTACAATTTCTATTGTGTTGAGCTAATAAGTAAAAAGGTGATGTATTGCAAACTTTTTTACCTTATTAATTTGGAGTTAATCCTAAAACGATCCTTTTACTACTAATGTGTGCATGGATAGCTAAATATGGTAATATATGTATGTTATGTGTGTGTGTGTGTCTTATACATGTGCTTTTTTTTTTACATTTTTTTGGCAGTGTGTAGAAGAGATCAACCTGAATCAATTCTTCTGCATTTACATTGTAAAGCGCTGCGCAAACTGTTGGCACTATATAAATCCTTTATTATAATAATAATACACAGAAGCCAGCTGCAACATTTGAAAAACAAACTTGCAGTCATTAAAGGAGAACTATGGGGTCAGGGCTTTTCCCCATAGTTCTCCTAAGGGTAACAGGAGGACACAAACTAGCGTCCTCCCATCACCCAAAGCTCAGTATACCGCGAGCTACTGAGACGCCGCACCCAGGACGGATCCGACATTACTGTCAGGATCCACCCAGCTTCGTGAGTGACAGCTGGCTCTGCCAATCTAGAGGCTGAGCCAGCTGTACCTGCCCCAGTACTCGCCTCATAATCCTCCTTTAATGCCATTTTTTGTAGAAGCTTTTGACTACTACACATTAGTTATAAGAGTTAATTTACTTACTAAGAACCAGCAAGCAGTAATTCAAATTGAAGTCAGAATTTATTTGCATACTTGTTCTAGATTATAAAGTATTAGAATACCTGGACCAGCACGATTGCCGCTGAACTAGCAGTGGTCTACATTTTTTTTTTCAGTACAGATATTCTTTGTTAGTGAGGGCAAGCAAGTTTTTTTTTTCTAGAGTGTATGATATTGCTGCCAGGTCAAATTTAGACTCTTGCAGTCTAAACCCATTGAGCTCTTTTGTTTGCCTAATCCTAATACAGAGATGTTAAGAAATTAGAACTTGGACGTGTGACGTACATTTATTATTTGTATAGTGTCATCAGCTAGAGCCAGGGTAGAAAAGATTATTGCACATTGTTATTTAAAGTTGTATTTTATTTTTGCAGGATGTACTTAAATGCCATTTCTTTATTTTTATGTCTGTCTAGGCTCTTCAGGCAGCAAGGCAACTTCTTTTACAGCAACAAACAAGTGGACTTAAGTCTCCAAAGAGCAGCGAAAAACAAAGACCACTGCAGGTATGCTTTAATATATAAATTATTTTGACCTATATATACATATTTAATTGGAATTTAGGAGTTTCCTAGGGCAAAAAATCGATCAGCTTCCAACTACATGTACTATCCTATACCAATGCTCTTATGGTGAATTATATACATTTAAGTTTGATTCAATTGGTCAGCTGAAATAACACGCTGAGCATCATTCTTTTACATAGTCGATAATTAACTGTAAGTCAAATCTGATATATTACAGGTTCTGGCCACAGAAAAAACAGGGCTATATTTTACTACATGTAGGCACAATGAGCAGTTGACAGTTTTTCTTGTGTAGTGGAAAACTACTCTCTACAATGGCAAGTTCTATATTATTATTTTCTATAATAAATCAATTTGAGGCCATGAATCCTCTTCAAGAAGTGAAATAGAGACAATTGTTTTATATTTTTTTTAGTAATGAGCTTCTGTGACGCAAAATCAGCAAATAGTGGGCTAATGCCCGCTATCAGCTGACAAGCCAGAGCCGCGCTGCATTCAAGGAAGATCTCGACAATATTGTCAGGATCCTCTCTGGCTGCCTAAATGACAGCTTACTCTGCCTCTATGCATGTGGCTGAGAGCCAGAACCAGCTGTGCCTGCCCCCACCCTGGCCTATAGCTCCTCCCAGCACTGGAGGGGCAGATGGTTGAGGGAGGAAATCCCTGCAAGTGGGCAGTGATTAACAGTCAATGCTCTCCATGCTCTTGGTCTCTGCATGGAGCAGAGACCTAGAGCTGACTGATCAGCAGTCATGTGATTGGTCAGCTCTTGATCCTAGAGCTGGTGTGGGGCAGCTGTAGCATCCCATGCAGGCTCTAAGCATCAAGGAGAGTATTTTTTACTTTCCCTGTATTTCTCCTTTAAATGGTAACTGTTAATGGCTATCTTTTTATCAAATTATTTTCACCTAAAGTCTGACAGAAAATGTATGCTACATTAGTGTAGCTGCAAATGTTAATCTTTTATGGTATCCTGGTACAGATTTATTCATGGTAAGTGAGTGCTGAGTATCTGATGGATGGTCCTTGAAGACGCAGGAGTTGTACACAGAACTGAGACTAGAGAGTTCTCAAGCTAACTGTTTGTATGTTGTTTTGGATACGTTATTTCGGCTCTGAAAATGTAGCTTCCTTTTTGTGTCTAACATTTTATTACAAAAAAAGTACTTTAGACATAAAAATTTCAATTTTTACCCGCAGCTGAGTAGTCAATCCAGTATACTCAACTTGCTTTTGGCAACATCTTAATTCATAACTTTGGTTTTAAATAATACAGAGAGTAAGTGAAGAACTGTCTCCCGAAGGACAGCATAAAACTGCTGTCAGAGAAGTGTACCTGTTTTCCCCCTCTATGAAGTAGAGAATCCTCATGCACTTGCACAAATTGCACTTTGAATGTTTAATTTATTATCACTGGAAGGATTTTTTATATGAATAAAGTGATATTGTAAGTAAAAAGCAAAATGATAGTTGTGATGTATGGCAGCAGACTTTTGGCTGGTTTATTTTTTTATATTTTAAAGGCTTAAAAAATGTTCTATAAGCTCTGATATTGTACATTTATATATAAAAATGTGGCATTGATATAATACATTATTTTCCACAATTAATCTATTAAGTCTTCTTCTGTTTTGCCATGGGCATAAAATGTTAGGTCCTCCTTTCGAGAGTAGGTAGCACAGTTACACTGATTTTACTTAGAATGTTGTTGGAATGGCTTAAAACACTCATGTGTTAATACTTCTGTATACTGTTTTCATGTTGCAAATGCTGTTTACATGTTGCAAAAGTATAGTTTTTTTTAACATTCAAGTGTAGTTAAATATGTGATTTGCGATTGATTGCAAGATTTTACTGTAACATGGCTTCTATTTGTTGTAAGATTTTTGTATAGCTCCACATGTGTGTTAGGAAAACATGTGGGACTATATGTATTATTCGTATTGCTCTTAAATTTATTGGATTACAAAACTGGGCTTTAGATAAACACCAACTGGGTATATCGTCACCAGCAGGAGTAGGATACTAGGTACAACTAAAGAACATAACTTAGCCCCTGCTGGTGGCCAAAACCCCCTCCACAGCAGTGGATGACTCGGTTATTAGCCTGGGTATTAGGAGTTAGTACATAGAAATTTCTTCCTAGAATTCCTAAGCCTGTGGGTGGTAGTCTGCAATTAACAGTGTCACTCCTGGTGAATTCCTTGCAAACGGTGTTCCTTGCTGAAGGTCTGTCTGCCCCCGATCCTTTCATGTCCCATCAACTCCCTCTATTTTATTGTGCTGGTGGTAAAATGTATGGGGTGTATGGAGGCCAAGGAAGTGGCCATACATTGTTTGCATGTAGTCAGGACAATTTGGGAGTATTTGAATTATCATGTTTGTAGTTGTAGAGTGCCCAAGTAAGGGCCTTGCTGCATTCACTGCAACTATCTCATGTTGGATCTGGCAAACCATTGTCTAGTTGTATGCCATCAAGCACAGAGAACCACGATTTCTGGTAACAGTGCAGTCTAAAAAGGCAGTAAGTGCCTCCTGGTCTTTCTGCAATCGGGCATCAGCTTTGCAAGTTTGCAAGGTGGCCACTTAGTCAGTTCAGATTTATAAGTTCAGTTTACCAGATGGATGTGACATGCCAGTTTTGCAGATGGCATTTTGACTGGCCTGCCAGCCAATTTTTTTACATTCAGTTTTTTGCCTGCCCCATTGTGGCACGGGGACATCCTAGTTGGTGATTATCTAAAGCAGAGCTGTGTCCTCAAATAAATAAACATGAAAGTAGGATATTTTGTACTCAATGTAAAATCCCTTTCTTTGTGTTTATTGGTGGGGCACTGCACCTACCCCTCTGGCTTGCTGCAGTCTGTAGGATAAATACTTGTTTTTGTTATTTGCACTACTCTGCCATTTGAGTTATCCACAGCTGTGGGTGGTGTTTGGGCTATCAGCAGGAGTTTATTGTTTTTACTGTGGTAACTCAGGAAGTTCCTTTTTTCGGATTTCAGTTATGTGAAAGACTTGTGTATACACTTTGACTTTGCAAGTTTGATCACTGCAATGCACATATCATATCATATACAACAACCCCTGAAAATGTATGTTGCCTGGCTGAATAAGCAAAATCAGACTCAGTGTAATGTCTTCACTTTTTAGGGTTTTTTATGAGCTCAAAAATATATTTCCTGAGGGCAATTCAATTATTAGCATTCTGTGAATTTTTGAAACTGTTAATTTAGTGCATTAAGAAAACTGTTGTTAACCACTTTGTTTTTCCTCCCTATACTCCCTTTGAATCCAAGAATGTTTTTTTATTTTTGAGATGATGTGGTTCTATATCTTATACCCTAGAGCTTTAGTTAGTTATTCTGTGTATTATACATTTTTTTGTGTGACAGATACGGCTTTAAGTTGGTAGTAGATTTTGATACATACATTTATATTCCTTGTATTTTAATAAGGAGAAAATTGAAAAAATTACTAAACATTTGTTTTCTAATTTTTCACTAACGTTTTTCATAATTTGCTCTGCTCCAGGTATATACTCCAAAGGTTTTCTGATTAAAAGGATATGTCTATCAGATAAATGTCTATGTTTTATTTTTTAATAACACACTGAAATGGTGAAGATCAAAGTTAATGTTTGTGTTTTATTTTGGAGATATTTTTCTGGGGTAGACACAAATTAGCACAACTTTACATTTTTTAAAAGTTTGCTTTTACTAACATTACAATTGACATTGAACTTACTTACTACGACATCCAAATTTGGCCACAGGCGACACTATAAAAGCTTTTACTGTTCATCAATTTAGTGTTATCAGTGATTGATGGCCCTAGAATTATTGCTCACGTTCTGACATTCGTGGTGATATGTAACATGTGCGGCATAAAGTGTGCAAACATAATTTTCACACGTAGGAGCACCCAACGCATGTTTGCGTGTGTAAGTAAGGACAGAAACTATTTAAAAAAAAAACTTTTGTAAATCTATTTTTTTTTTAAATGTTCAACTATTTTTTTTTCACTTAACTTTATTGCTACGACATAGGGGATTAACAATCCCCCTATATGATAGCCAATATACAGTGACATGTCCCCTTTATTGAGACATAGGGGTTGAATTACTAACCTTATAAACACACCACGAACATGTATACACCTCTGTAGTGTGTTCCCTCCCAGCATGATCTATGGGTGGAATCTAAACACCTTTTGTAGTGTGTACACACCCAGCAGGTGTGTTGTGCAAAGCCCTGCATGAATTACAAGGTGATGTTGTGTAAATTAGCTCTATGTTGTGTTGCTTGCGTTGATGAATGCAGGAATGTAAATGCATGAGCTAACCATTTTTGTCTAAACTGTGAAGCAGCATTATATATGCATCATGCGCATGATTTTTCCATATATGGCATTAGTGGAAATATGCTTTTAGAGACTTTTTGGTTGATAAATACGTTTTGCTGTGTGAAAATCACACGCACCTGGTGCGTGCGTGTGTTTAGGTTAGTAAATTACCCCCACAATGTCACCTAGCGACCCCCAGAGATCTGCTTCATCAGCTTCTCCCTGGCTTCTGTAGCCAGAAATGACAGCTGAATAACAAAGTGATGTAATATATATCGCTTCCTGCATTCAGAGACCGGAGATTGTATACTGATCTCCAGTGACAGTGCCGCCATGCCGATCACGGCTTGCACCGGGCACAGCTGAGTTCAGGATTTGCCACACACCTGAAAGCACAATACAAGCGATTGGGCGTCTCTACAGATGCCGGAATGCTTGTATGTAAACAGCCATCGCTGGCTGTGTACATTTCAAACACATTTCCTGCTTATGAACTAGCCTAGCGGAGGGCACGAGTGGGATGGGACAGGACAGTTAAAAATGCCCACCCACATTCAAGAAGTCGGCATTTAATTACAACAGCAGGAAGGCAGGTGGTTAAAGGACTCCTAATATGTAAAGTTCTAATGTATATT